GTCCGCCGCGCCCCCCTCTAAGGCTTCCCCTTGCCGCGCAGCCACCCTTCGTGCGGAGTGAATATTCGAAGAGGGTGCGAAGGGAGGAGCAACAGCCTGTCAAGCGTGGCATAGTTGATGGGCTGCGCTGGATGGTCGAAACGACGTATTTCGATGAAACATTCCACCCCATTGCGTCTTCCTATGATGCTTCAAAGACAGCAACAAAACACAGACCAACGCATACACGTTCCTCCGACACACTGCACATACTCGTTGGTCCCAATTCTGGCTTGTCAAGTCTCACGAAGAGCTGCATTGTAGGACTTTTTCGGATAAATCCGCCGCCCAGGGGAGGAGTAACTGGGCATCCGATACAAAACAAAAAAATGATTTGTACGCTGTTTTACCAACCGGGACCAATTGTTAACGTCCACAATGCCTCTTCGCCCACAAATTTAACAGCGACAACCTACGGCAAACGTTACTGTGCCGGGCCATCATCGCAGATTGCACCCAACATGGCATGAGTAGCATCTAGCCAGTCTGCCGCAGCAATTGTATCATTCCAGGTCTCCTCTGGCCCCCCATGCACCTCTCTCAACTCCTGCAATCTCAAGGACATATCGGGAACATGGGCTACCCAGCCAGAAATCGCACCACCACTACACCCCTAGACCGCACTACTGAATATGTCAGAATCAATTTTGCCTCCCCTGCCCGGCTCACAGTTGACACGTGAAGTAGGCAAGCTCGGTCCGGCAGGTAGGCCAGTTCGTGGTGCAGGGTCTTGGTGTAGTTCCCACCAGCTAGTAGATGCCATTGGTTTGTCTGCGTTGCTGCAAGGGGCAGCCATCATCGCGCCGGTCGCATTCTCAGAAATGACACCGCCGGCACCATGCTGTCATGATATTTCCAACGGCAGTCTGCGAACCCCCCTGCTTGAAATTAGTCGGTGAGCCGGTGCTGTTGCAAGCGTAGAGGGGCGACGTGGAGAAAACGCCCATGGCTTGACTCGCGATGATACCCTCACTTACCCTTGGAAGGCAAAATAAAACAGTGGGAGAGAGCACGTGCGAGGTTTGGAATGGATATCCATCCGCAGTATACTGTAGCACGGGTAGGGTTGGACACGGAGTGCCACGCCAAGGTCCTCGTCCAGCGCTCGAGACAAAACCTACGCCGCAGTTTGAGCGAAGACGCATCTGCGAAAAGTTTACTCCTCGAGAATTGTGTGTGGCGATTTTTTCTTCAGAGTGGAGGGATGGCCTCTGCGTCCTAACTTTGGGATATATAGGTGTAACCGCAGGACCTCGTTTCGTTCCACTTGAAGAGGTAGAAGGTAATGGTGAGGCGTTTGAATAGAAATCTTGGATTGGACGCTAAGTTCTGAAGCCAAATAGGCTTCAGCCCACCAAAAACCGACAAGTATCCCCACTCTCTGTGTTTCACTTGGTTTTAGAGATGCGATATCGTCTGTTCTCTTAAGCAAGTTATTTTTCTCCGGGGGATATTTCCCGAGATCTCATCGACACCTTTTCGTGTGGATTGGACGAGGTGTCCCTCGTGGCCCCGCCTGCTCCTCCTGCAAGTTTGGTCCAAAACCGGTTTTTGAGAACGCGTCCGTTGTTGTGTGTCTTACAGTGGGTGTCCCGGTATAGTGCCGGTTGTAAGGTGCCAGAGTCCGGTTTAGTGCCGGTAAAGCTTCAAGACACAGACACAGGCCTGAGTAGTGCCAACCCGGCACTATTGAGGGACCCACTATAGTCCCGGCTCAGGCACTATCGAACTCCTCAATAGCGCCGGATCACACCCCACACACAGCCTTTTTTCGCCTCAAGCCTTTTACACCAATAGGATTCGGAGACGGTATACCTTGGAGCTACAAGTAAGCTCGGTTTCTGTCGGTACAGACAGTACGCATGAGTCTTCAAATGCCACGGTTTACCGATCGACCACCAAAGCCAATTCAGCCCATGGGTTGGGATTTCGGTAGCGAGGAGGGCAAAACGGAAGATGACGGTAATGACGAAGGACGTGGAAAGAATAGCGGAGGATATAGCAGTGATGATGGAGGAGGAAAATACGGCGTTGAGCCCAATAAGAGTTTCGATCCAGATGAACTTCCTCACAACGAACGCCGCAAGGGGGTAGTCTAGAGGTGAACGCCCGAAAATAGTGATATATTAGTGACGAGAGTAGTGGTGGTAAAACAAGGACAAGGAGAAACCCCTCCGAAACGAAGCGTGTTCAAAGTAGTGGCCTTGGCAGACACGTGCAGTTTTCCTCTGTTGCTACCTTTTCTGCCTTATATCTGGAGAATGCTTCATCCTCCTCCATGAAACCTGCTCACGGGGTCTCAGATCAGGATCTTGAGAAACGTGTATTTTCTGTTTGCAACCGCACCGAGACTGGTGTCTAGACTATTGATTGGCCAGTCACTTTCTTGCTTCTGAAGACTTGGTGTTCTTTCTAGCTTTTTATCGAAGGGTCAGGGGAGTTTGTTGCTTTCTTCACTCCTGTCGGTTGCATATGTTTTTGTTGCGCTCACGTGAGGAGCACCACATATTTCAAATGTTGCACCTCCAAGTGTACATCGGATGCGTAGACTACATGAGCGACTTCCTGTCGCTGTCGAGGGTGCCTATGAGGTTGCCTGAATAGTGCTACGGTCATCTTGCCACAACAAAACATCATTGATAGCGAGGTGCCTTTGATCGGGCGGCACGGTTTGAGGCAGCGGTGACGTTTACTACCTTAGTGTGTGCGCTGAGTGGGAAGAGAACAATGGTGCAACAAATGTATCTGGTCAAGTTAATCTTACTGTGACCAAAGCCTTTTGTTCGATAGGCGGGCAGCATCACGAAACTTAAAAGAAGCCCGACCACATCGCCTAGTTAGCATTTGATCCGTATACCGTTCGTTCAGTACTCTACTAGCCCCGCAAAACGCAAGCGCTGCGCCCTGAAGTCGAACAGTCCTCACTTGCGCCAAGCCGGCACTTTTGAGGGATTTTAGTTTTTAGACCCTGAATAGTGCCGGTTTGTCACTACGAAGGCACAATTTTGAATGGTGCGGTGGCCGGTATAGTGCCGGTCCACCCCTGGACACATACCGACACCATACCGGGACACCTACTGCAAACGTAAATCCCCCCTGTGCGAAGAACCGAAACGCACTCTCCCTCTGATTTTTACCCCCCACGGGTTGTGAACTTCCGAACTGCAGGGAGCGCTGAGGACCACAGCAGCCGCTGCTGAATTGTAGACAGACGTGCATCTCCCTTGTAGGGGCAAGACAATAGTTTTGTCCCAGACTGACTGATATGAAGACTGGACCACAGCCACTGGTGTAGATGTGCATCTCCCTCTTCAGGAACACAAGGCAGAGGAATTCTCGGCACTCAACTCCTAAACGTCCTCAGGAATGGGCCCCAACCAAATGAAAAGTTGGGAGTTTGAAGTTACAGTAGTTGCACAAACCTCCCTTTTCATCTGACGGAAAATGCAAGAGTGCCAACAATGGTCAGTACAATCTCCTTCCTGGTTGCTGCTGTACACCACAGCTAGCCGCTGTTGCCGCTGTGGATTTGCATCTCCTTATTGGAACAACAAACAAAAACTCATACTACAGATCAGGGGCCATGTTTTTTTGTTCTCAGACGCACATGCAACCACGCATGTATGTACGCACGACCAACAATATCCCCACGACACACACTGAGACGTACGGCATACAATTTGCCGGTTTCGGGGCGATCCAACCACACACCTGGTAGTGGTGTGTGTAGGTCGTACTTAGATGCCTCGTTTTGTTTGCGGGAGGATGGACGGACATGGAAGAATAGGACCGGACGATTTTGGTAGTTATTCCCGCCCTTCGTCTGCCCACACACACGTTATTTCTAACAAGTCCTATGAGACTAATACTACCTTCGAACACCTGTAGGGACACAGCCATTCACTGCACGTGGTACAGATCAGAGGCCTTCAACTTCCTTCCGTCTCACACGTGCAACAAAGCATAAATATCTCGGACAAGCTACCTATCCCGAACAAGTTGAGACTTGGGGGGGGGGGGACG